TTTTTTCTCCCCATCCCTTCCTCCTTTTTAAAATCGAAAGCTATGTAACTGCACTACTTCTTTTCTGTGTCTTTCTTCTGTGACCTTGCTGCTCTATCAGTCACCTCTGTAAGGAACCACATGAAATTACTGACAATGTTGTGTATAGTTGGTTGATCCCTATAAAAAGGTATCCTGACCACAGACTGCAGATTTTTTTTCTTAGGGCCTAACCTACCTTATATCTTTTTGTGTGTTTTCTAGGAAATGTACCTGATACTGTCCAGGTTGACGATTCCACTTGAGATATGAATGAAACAAAATTTTGAGTGGCAGTGCCTACAGTCATTAAAATGGTTTCACATCAAGTTCCATGCAAAATGGATCAAACCCCAGCAATTTTTAGCAAAAAACTGAAGTTTGGCAATAGGGCCATGAGTTCCACAAAAATATTCAGGGTGTCACCTTCAGTTTAAATATCTAATATATAAAAACTAGTTTATAAATTGGCATTCTAGAGCAAAGCAAGACAGAAATCTGATGTGTTTGTGCAGGAAGTACCCACCTGCAGAGGTCCAAAATCTCACTATGGTCTACTATTAGATAATACATCAATACTGAGATCCTATGTCCCAGGAGTCATCATGTAGTTGTGATAACCCCTCTCATTCTGGTCATTCTGTTGCAAGTGGAGAGCAGGAGAATTGGAAAAACACCTTATGTTGCCATAGCCAAACACAGACTAAGGACATCTTCCACTAAGTTCTTCTAAGGTCTACCAGAGGTCTCACTGGATAATATCATCAGTTTGCATGGGACATAGCCGAACACTTTGCCAGTTCTCCTCAACTCACTACCAGCGATGGAATGGCCACTGGGACAACTATTGTAGCAGCACAGTGGGAACAGAGGGAGGAGTGCTTTAGACATTTTGGAAGGTGGAACTAATATCAACCTCTGCAACAATTAAAAAGATAGATACGCAAGCATAAGGCAAATTACTGTTGTGTATGTCACTAACAGGATGCTGGCTCAAGTTTGATGACAGTGATCAAGCATGTGGATTGTATAGCTGCAGCACAACAGACAGAAAAAGAGACAGACAAAACATTTTAAATTGCAGTATAGGTTAGCACAAGGCAATCTTATCCAAGGCTTCAAGGGTTATCTATCTCTCACCTGGTAGTTTTTTGCCTTGTCACTTTTGACAATGAAAATGCAAGGTCTCTGAAACAACAATGTCACTAATTGGCAGAACTCTGAGGCAAAAGGAGGGTCCTATGACAAAGAAAACAAGTCAAGAAAAAAGGCTTGCCAGGAAAGCCATTCAGAACAGCAAGGGAACATCCACTAAAACAGAGAACTGGTGATTTATTTCCTGTTTGCGGCACTAATGGTTCAGCGTCCTGGGCTCCCCCTCAGTTTCTGAAAACAAAGTGTAAGCTTGCTTGGGAGTCACATTTTTAAACATATGCCTGCTAAATGGGACATGATGCTCACAATCATCCCTCTGTAATTAAGCACTGGTTTGGGTTCTGGACAGGCCAGCATCAGAGTAAGCAGCAAGGCTGGTACTTCAGCTGAGGTGGCAGCTTTACGAAACACTGTTTAGGGCGCATCCAGAGAAGGGAATCATTCTGGTAAATTCTGGATTTCACATATTGTAACACCTCTTCATTGTTCTTTCCAATCCTGTATCCAGTGATGACCTAATTATACTGGGATTTGGTCTACAGCTTCCTGAAGCACCCAGTCAGCATGGCCACTGGTTGTGCTGGATGGGGGTACCAAACAAGGACAACAACACCTGTTCCTCTATGTTGTGTTTTCCTTACGAAAATACCCCCCAGTAGAAAAATGCCAATTCAAGGAAGTGAATACATATATAGAATAGACCTAGGACTTTATTACATGGGGGAAATCCCATGCAGAAATTGGATTTAAATAGAAAAAAAACCTGCAAAAGCAGGTAGATTTTCACACAACGTCAATGTTAAAGTGTGCTTAACCTGAATGGAAAGTAGTCAAAATCCGCTTCTTTTTACTTTTGGAAAATCCTGAAAGTAAAAAGAAGTGGCTTTTGATTACTTTCCATTTAGGTTAAGCACACTAACATCAATGTTTTGTGAAAATCTACCCGCTTTTGCAGGTTTTCCCCACCTTTGAAATCCTGTGACTATATGGGATTTCCCCCATGTGATAAGGTCCCTAGTTAAGAATCCATACTGGAACTGAATGCCATTCATGTGGGCCTAGACTGTAAGAAGACTGCTGAGTGAAATTTGGAAAGATATTGCTTGACATACTGTAGATCAGTCAAAGTTTCTTTTTCAGACTACAACTTCCAGAATACTCAGTGGCTGACAAATATACTCTGAGAGCTGCAGTCACAAAATAATATTTCCAAGTTCAGAGGATGGGCAGCAAGCCAAAGAAGGAACAAGGCCTACAATGTGTGATCTTCCAAGCAGCAGCCCTCTTGATCTGTTCTGGTGACTCTGTCCTCCTGCCTTTTGTTAAACAAGGGCCTTCTTGCCTTTGGCTGTTTCCCCTTCCTATTATGTGTCTTACAAATCCCAGCATTGTAGTTCAGCTCAGCTTGCGTCATCCATGTGGGCACATCATCTGTAGGGACCGGGAGGAGCCCTACCATCCTGAACAGCATAGCCTTTCCCACTTCCTGCTCAAAGGAAGACAGCCACTCTTTTTGCCTTTGCTTGCAGAGTCAGTGGCCTATTGGGTTATTCTGCTGAGCCAGCAAAGGACAGTATAGCAGCCAGGAAGCCAGAGTCAATGGCATCTGGCCAAGAGGAAGGAGGAGAGCAAAAAAGAAGGAACAAATAAAGTCTCTGATCAATGCAGCCTTGTCATAGTTGAACTGCAGCCGAGAACATAGCAAGATCTCTTCCTGCCCCAGGTATGCCTCCAGGATGTGACGGATTAGAACACCAAATAAATAAACCAGCTGCTGTCTCCACAGAGACAAAACTGCACAGTGGAACACACACCTGCGGGTCCTTTTGCACTATGCACTTGTAGTATTCTGCTTCCGCTTCAACTACACTGGCAACATACTATGGAATATTGGGATTTGCAGTTAAGGAAGGGATATTTAGAATTTTCTGCCAGAGAGTTCTACTGTAGTGGTTCTCAAACTTCAACTCTCCACTTGTTTTGGACTTCAGCTCCCAGAATCCATGATCATTGGTCAAGCTGGCAGAGGTTTTTGGCATTTGGAGTCCAAAGCACCTGGTGGACCAAGAAACACTGCTCTAGAGCCTCTCCAAACTACCAATCCAGGGATTCCATAGGATGCTGCCATGGCAGTTCAACAAATATCTGGAAAGCCAAAGAATCCTACCCCTGCTCCATAGTACCACCAATATACTACCAGCCTTACCATTGAAGAATCACAAGGGTTTCTCATAGTGTTATGGATATTTGACCTGAAACAACAGCAATAGCAAATACATTTCTATACTGCTTATCAGTGCACTTAAGCACTGCCTAAGCCAGTGATGGTGAACCTTTTAGAGACCAAGTGCCAAAGCTGCAACCCAAAACCTACTTTATCACAAAGTGCCACATCCCTCTGGCTTTCTAGTAATGAACTCTAGAAAACTCTGTGCCTGAGCGATGGCACGTGTGCCCACAGAGAGGGCACTGAGTGCCACCTCTGGCACGTGTGCCATAGGTTTGCCACCATTCTGCCCTAAGCAGTTTACAATGTGTAAGCCAATTGCCCCCAACGAGCTGGGTACTCATTTGAGCAACCTCAGAAGGATGCTAGGCTGAGTCGATCCTGAGCCCTTGTCTGGTATTAAACTCACAACCTTGTGGTTTGTGAGTGAGTGGCTGCAGTACAGGCATTTAACCACTCCACCACCAAAGCTCTTATGCAAGAGGCTTTCATTACAGCATTCTAGCCTCAGTACTGTTGCTGGTAGGAATCACAGTGCTAATTGCACTGACCATTTTCTTCCTCCTCCTGGTAGTTCATCCCCTTGCTCCATTCATCTTGCTGGCTTCATACATGCATTCTGGATAATTGCTCTCATCTATTCCTTAAGAAAATAAGGATCTTTCCATCCCTGCTCCATCAACCAAAAGCATAATTATCAGCCATGATAACAATAAAAACATGGTGAAAGTTTAATCCGGTGAGCACATTTGCTCTTGAGGAGGACCCTCTGATCTAAAGGGTTTTATTCTCATGTAATTGCTCATGGGATCAGAGGCAGCCTCAGCCTTGGTTTTGTGACTATTGTTGTTTATTAATTTAAACTTTTCTATTAAAGACAATGTATAATATTTTGCACTCCAGCACAATACCCATGCTGCGTAAAGGGCAATTTTCAATATGCACATGCCTGAATGAATGAATGAATGAGCACAAGCAAATGTAATGAATGTAGCTGAGGAAGTGGAAAATCCCAAGCATATCCTATTACCTGAAGTCTTTATACTTCAAAGTTTTCCCCAATTCCAGCCTTTTCTGCAGAAAAAGGTGACCAATGGGGGATGGATGTAATGATGGTGAGTGTGCATGGAAGAAAACAGAGCTTGGGCAAAGCTGATTTTTCGGGAGTCCTAGCTCTCACTGGCCATGCTAGCTGGGGTATTCTAGGAGGGCTAGTCCCCTTAGGAAACTAAGGGCCTGTACAGACCAGCCAAAAGGACCAGCCTGGGAGTGGAGTTGGGGCAGGGCGACCACACGCCGGCTGCCCCGACTCTGCCCCCACGCTGCCGGCACGCCGCTGAAGCAACCGCATGCCGGGCAGCAAAAAAGTGCATCTTCGGCACAGTGTTTAAATGCACTGCACCAAAGAATTGGCGAAAAGCCGCTGCCATCGCAAGTACAGCACCCTTTCTGCAGTGCAAAAGGGAGCCACTTTTTGCGGTTTCTTTTTGCACCACGAAAAGGCCAGATCGGGACCACAGCATGTGGTTGCTGTGGCCATGATCTGGCAGGAAAGGGCCATCTGTATAGCCCCTAAATGTATATAGTAGCCCTTACTTAGAGCCATCTAGGCATAGTGGTTTGAGTATTGGACTACAACTCTGGAGACCAGGGTTCAAATCTCTGGTCAGTCATGGAAATCCACTGAGTGATCTTGGACAAGTCATATATGCG